TGATATTCCTCCAGAGGCCAACGAAATCGTAGAATGGTTCGAAGAGTGCTATGTACATGGTAGAACAAGACGCACATTAAGACATGGGAATGCAATTTGAGCATCACCATTATTTCCACCTGACTTCTGGTCAGTTGTTGATAATATCGATTATGCATTTCCACGAACTCAAAATTTTGTAGAGGCTTGGCATCGAAGATGGGGTGCCTTAGTAGGTATTGCACATTCAGGCGTTTACAAAGTCATAAAGGAATTGCAAAAAGAACAAAATCGAGTTGAGCTTGATGTAGAATCGATTTTACGAGGAATACCACGACCTTTACAAAAAAAAACGGGACCGTGAACGTGAAGCACGAATTTGGACAGTGTTCAATGACCGTGATAATAGACCACTTATGGAATTTCTTCAGGGAATGGCTCATAGCATTTCATTTAATATTGCTACTCTATTAAATACATTAATTGTAATTTTATTTTTTTTAAAAAAATAAAAGACATTATTATTAATTATTCGTATGAATTATTATTATTTGTATTTGTATTCGTGTTTACGTTTCGTCATATTTATTAATTATTAATTATTTCATAATGCGATATTTAACGTAAGAAAACGAATAAATTAAACTTCGGGTAATGTTGAACCAACAATGTGATAATGTGGCAACAATGGAAAATTTACTAGAACATTCAAAAAAATCATTTTTTGAGTTGTTTTATTAAATAAATTTGTCTCTTAAATTGGTCACGTTTACTTCGTCAGACAATCATTTCGTTTATTTTTGTTATATCGAGGTAGTTTCGAAATTATATCAAGAGATATAGTCAAGAGAAGAATTATAAAGAGAGTTGTCCTTTGACCAAGTCGAAAACCAACCCTTTAAATAAATCTCCAAGTAGTACAATTTAATTTATTAGATTAATTTCTTCGACATTTGATTTATTGTTAAAAGGTAGTTTCGAAGGTATAGTGCAAGTTAATAAAAATTTTACAGTCATATGATTTTTGAAGATCGTCAAGTGTTAAATAAATATATTAATTTTTTTTTTACATTTATTCCTATATACATATGTAAATGATGATTAGAACAATAAACAACAACAATAATGATTATAGCGATGTTATTAAATATAAGTTAAAATAAAAGAGAAATTTATATAAACTATTGAATGATTGATAAAACCTTCGTTAGTATATTTTGTTCATAGATCTTGTCCTTAAAGCTTACTTCGATTACTCCTACACAAACTATTAATTAATTGATAAACGTTTGTTAGAATGTGTGCAAGCTAGATAGATCTTGCTTGTCCTTAAAACTTACTTTGATTACTTCTACATAAAACTATTTAATAATTAATAAAACGTTTTTTAGAATATTTTGTTCATAGATCTTGTCCTTAAAACTTACTTCGATTACTTCTACATAAAACTATTGAATAATTAATAGAACGTTTGTTAGAATATTTTGTTCATAGATCTTGTCCTTAAAACTTACTTCGATTACTCCTACATAAACTATTGAATAATTAATAAAACGTTTGTTAGAATATTTTGTTCATAGATCTTGTCCTTAAAACTTACTTCGATTACTCCTACATAAACTATTGGATAATTAATAAAACGTTCGCTAGAATATTTTGCAAACTTCATAGATCTTGTCCTTAACACTTACTTCGATTACTCATAGATAAACTATTGAATGATTGATAAAGCGTTCGTTAGAATATTTTGTTCATAGATCTTGTCCTTAAAACTTACTTATACAACTATTGAATATTTGATAAAACGTTCGTTAGAATATTTTGTTCATAGAACTTTAATGCTTGTACAAACTATTGAATAATTGATAAAACGTTCATTAGAATATTTTGAAAGCTTCATAAATCTTGTCATTAGCGCTTACTTCGATCACTCCTATATAAACTGGATCTTATCATTCTCAAAAAACGATGATTCGTTGTCGTCGTTGCTACTAATTATAATATTTATTAATATTATTGATTGATGGATCTTTGTATATTACAAATGTAACCAATCAAATCAATTAGCGAATTTTTATTCTTTTTTTTTGATTCTTTAAATGTTTCCTTTTAAAATAAAAATAAATAATAAAAATTAATAAAAGGAAGGTCATGTCACGAGGGGTCAATACACCCAACATGAGCCACCCGCGTCAGTTCCACCTTCCTAGCACGCGGGACTTTACAGCCGGTCCAAAGTGAGGCATTGCACCTAAGGGAGCCGGACACAGGGGACCATATTCGGTACTTCATCATTGCATGACTTTTCCCTGGTCGATACTATTAAACCAATTCTATGATTTATATATTAACTTTTTTTCAAGTTGTGCAAAATATGGGATACCAACCATTTCATTGGATTAAATTTATTCCATAATTTTTATTG